ATATATATATATATATATCGTTCTATATTAGCTAATAAAAGCTGCAAAACATAAGTTTATCGATACAACGTGGCTTAACTGTTTTCCTTCCACATTTATCTAAACTTTATGAGATCACCCACATTGTGTTAAGCACGATTAGATTAACGCATTGAGACAAGTTGCGAATGACAATATCCTCGTGTTCGCGAAGGAATATCGTGCAAGAATTTAATAACACACGTGCGCGTGTAAGGACGACCGTGGAATGATAATTGAACGAGTTAATTAGAAGCGACGTAAGACACGCGAGCTGCGCATGTCGCGAATTATTTCGAAATGTCCATCTTCGTTTACCGGTCCTGTCTTCAAGTACAAAGAAAAGAACACGTACGAAAGAACGCGTTGTTAACTGTTTGTTCATTATCCGCACGAATCTCTACGAGATCTTCCGCAAACTTTTAAAGGTTCCCTCACACGGAAGATTCCCAGTCTCGTATATGGTCGAACGATACCGTTTTGAAAAGAACGTGTTGCAATAAAATTTTATTTTTTCGTTCGTAAAAAAATTGAAGAGCTCGTAACGAAAAGAACGAACGCTCGTGCCTGTACATACTTTTCCACAGAAGAGAAAGATACTCTTCTTGAAGCATCTTCAATATATTTGTACAATACGTTTCATTGTCTTTTTTTAAACAAAGCATTCATTATATTATACCACTGACACGAGTGTATTTGCAACCATATCGCAAAGAAATGATGTCTAATCAAATTATGAAGTCACGGATCTCATGTCAATGTTTACTTTCGTAGAAACGATCAATTTTCATTCGAAGATAAATCGAACGTGTCTTCGTATCATAGGTTATTTGTTGAAACGTCGGATGAATTTGACGAGGATACTTTTTTATTATTGCAAATTACTCGACTGTAAAGAAAAGAAACGACCAACCTGTCTAAAATAATAAATTCTCTCAAAGTTAATCCACGATGAACAGCACTTTGAAAATTACAAAGGAATTCTATGTATAGAATTCACCACGCTGTATTATCCACGTATAGTATCCACACACCGTACATAAAATACATATCGAACGAACGAATAGTAATAACGCAACATGAAATATCAATATCCTACGGATTTATTTATGTTATATATATATATATAAAATATTTTTATACTTATTTCAAATTCTTAATCGTTTTACGTGAAGCTTAAAACTTTAACATGCCTTTAACACACTAGAAGAATACTAACGTACTTCAATTGATTTGTGAAAGTTCATTTTTACGTAAACAAAATTTACTAAATCTTCTACGTTTGCATACCGATTGTTTGCAGCTTGCACATACATTACCCTTAATCTCTTATCACGGGAAATTCTTCTTGCAAGAAATTTAAGGTACGAGCAGAGGTTAGAAATTCCTTAGGGTACGTTTCGCTCTCGAATCGTTCTAGCACTTGACTTGGTTCCTTTAATACGTATATCGTCGCTAATTAAAGGGAACTTCTATCGTGCAACGACATGAAACCCGTGAAGACAATAAGAGGATCGAACACGTTAAATCGACCAAACTTCTTCTCTATTACGCCACTGACCCTGAAGCGAAATATTCCATTGAAACTCGCCACGTAATCGGGTTTTAATAATTGCACTTCTATCGATGGCTGTTCGGTCAGGGTAAACGCCGATGCGATTTAACGATGAAACTTCTAAGAACGATTATTCGTAAAGTATGTATACGCTTTCGAAGATCGTGAGAAGTGTCGATGAATCAAAACGTCAACGATAGAAGACGCTTATCGAACCAATTAAAATGACTAGTATTATAATTTTTATTTTTATAATTACTAAATGCTTTTACTTATATAATTACTTAAATAATAATTACTTAACAATTACTTAAATGCTAAATATGCAAATGCTTTCCATGACATTATGTTTACCTTTATCGAGACAGAAACGTAATTACCAATTACTTTTGGTTTTTTTAATTACGCATTCGTATTGGTTTAATTCCATTGGTCTATTGGGTTGGCAACTAAGTGATTGCGGATTTTGTCATTAGATGGTATTGACAAAATACGCAATCACTTAATCGCCAACCCAATACTTGGTTCTGGTTTCTCGAGCTGGGTGTAACCCTAAATTCCATATCTTTTTCCTTTGATTTGGCCAGATCTATTATTTTTCCCTCTGGTGGAACTGGCAAAGTCTCTACCTGTTCTGTCAGAATTACTACGCGGATTTATTGGAATTTAAGCAGCTACGCACTACGGTAGTAAGGTGGTAAAATCCATACAATATCATTGATTAGGTTGTATCAGCAATTATATGATGCACACGGTGCGTTAATCGTTTCGAATGGGTTTCAGTATTAAGTAGTATAAGGCGCTGAAGCTCAGCCAAATGTATACGGTACGGTACCGTTGTATTCGTTTGCGGAAAGTTCTCGTCATGAGGTTTTTTCCTTTAGCTGTTAATTATAATGATCGTGGAATCGTCGCAGAGAACACCACAGGTTTCCGTATAATGTTAGGTCGTCCGAAAAGTTTCTTTCGTTTTATAAGGAAATAACTGATGCACAACTTTTTTCGTTTTATATCATTTTATCGAATCCATTTTGTTCTATCAAAGTAAAGATCACAACGTTTGACAGATTAGGTTTCATGTTTGTATAAAAATGCATCGTTGTAAAAGAAAGACACTTTTCGAACAACCTAACATATAGAGGGAGTGCAGCGTTTTTGGAAATTATTGGTAATCTGGAATACCAAAATATCTAAAACACTAGTAACGTCATCTGATCTATAACGTCACAAATAATAAGGGCGAATGACCCGTGAACCAATGATATTTGTGAACTAACCGTAATTTTGAAATTTTCGATTCTATTTGCAGGGTAAAAGAATATCAAATTGCGAATGGTTTTCAGCAATTATTTCGCTGTGGTGGTGATTAGAATACGTCAAAACTTTATACTAAGATCATTTAATCTACTCGTTTGTATATTAATTCTATGGTTTCATGTCAATTTTGCG